GGCGTTTGTCAGAGGTTAAGTAGAAGAGGAGCGTAGATCTACTTAGTATTTGAAGTTTTTCAGACAATCTCAACCTGGTATATTCCAGAAAAATAATTGACTAAAGAATAGTAGCTAGCTCATGGGATTTATAGAAGAGCCAGAAAATGTGCTGTGGTGGATGCCCATCATCTTCTTGCTGTGATAGAGATTTCTACACACCCTCCCCACCCCTTTACCCCACCACAGCCTTGCATTGACCTGTGGCCCTCTGGCTGTTTTCACCACTGTGCTCCTGTGCTGACTGGTTCCTGTTGCCTCCTCATGGGCTGCCTTCTGGTTCCAGGTTTCTTACAGTGTGTCTAACTGAGAAGCCTTGGTCACGTGCACTCTTGGGCAAGAGAGGTTGAGAAATTGATTATGGCTTCTGCCTCCTTAAGGGAGACAGCACTTACAAAATGAGAGGACTTCAAAAAGTTCATGGGAAAATGGAATAAAAGATAATGGAAATCTTTCTTTTTAATCGTTTTATTAGGGGCTCATACAACTCTTATCACAATCCGTACATACATCAATTGTGTAAAGCACATTTGTACATTCATTGCCCTCATCATTCTCAAAACATTTGCTCTCCACTTAAGCCCCTGGCATCAGCTCCTGATACTTTCCCCATCCCTCCCCGCTCCCCTCTCCCTCATGAACCCTTGATAATTTATAAATTATTGTTTTGTCATCTTACACCGTCCGACATCTCCCTTTACCCACTTTTCTGTTGTCCGTACTCCAAGGAGAAGGTTATATGTAGATCCTTGTCATCGGTACCCCCTTCCTACCCCACCAACACTCCACCCTTCTGGTATCACCATTCTCACCACTGGTCCTGAAGGGATCATCCGCCCTGGATTCCCTGTGTTTCCAGTTCCTATCTGTACCAGTGCACATCCTCTGGTATAGCCAGATTTGTAAGGTAGAATTGGGATCATGATAGTGGGGGGAAGGGGGAAGGAAGCATTTAGGAACTAGAGGAAAGTTGTATGTTTCATTGTTGCTACACTTCACAGCTGACTGGCTCATCTCCTCCCCAGACCCTTCCATAAGGGGATGTCCAATTGCCTACAGATGGGCTTTGGGTCTCCACTCTGCACTCCCCTCCTGATTCACAATGATATGATTTTTTGTTCTGATGATGCCTGGTACCTGATCCCTTCGACACCTTGTGATTGCACAGGCTAGTGTGCTTCTTCCATGTGGCCTTTGTTGCTTCTGAGCTAGATGGCCGCTTGTTTACCTTCAAGCCTTTTAAGACCCCAGACGCTATATCTTTTGATAGCCTGGCACCATCAGCTTTCTTCACCACATTTGCTTATGCACCCACTTTGTCTTTAGCTATTGTGTTGGGAAGGTGAGCATCATGAAATACCAGTTTAATAGAACAAAATATTCTTGCATTGAGGGAGTACTAGAGTGGAGGTCCAATGTCCATCTGCTACCTCAATACTAAACTATACATATATGCACATAGATCTATTTCCCCGTCCTCATATATAAATATATTTACATATTTACATGCCTTTATTTAGACCTCTATAAATGCCCTTTACCTCCTAGCTCTTTCCACCTATTTCCTTTTACTTTCCTTTTGTCCCACTATCATGTTTCAGTAATTCCTCTTTTGGGTTTCAGTAATTCCTCTTGGTTACATTACCCTTGGTCACCCTACCAGGCCTCCTACACCCTCTGCACCACCAATTTAGATCACTTGTTGTTCCCTTGTCCCTGGGTTTGTTAACACCACTTTCTTTCCCCCCACCCTCCCCTCTCCCATGTCCCACCAGAACTCTTGGTCCTGTTGTTTTCCCCTATGAACTTTTAAGCTCCTTTGTATTGTGGGAACTAAAATCACCACTTTCTTAACTGGTACTTTTAGGGGCTGATTTGGAATCTTTAACACTTTTAAGATGGATGAACCATTTCTTTTGCTTTTTCTGGCTTTTCATTTCCAGTTCTTGACTCATATTTAAGTATCTTACCAATCATGTTTCTGAAGTTCATTTGTATAATAGGAATTTGGTAAATGTCTTAATACTTGGATAAAGCCTTTACCACTTTCAGTAAACCTTTATTTGATCAGTAACTTTTTTCTAAGCTCCCTAAGGTTTTCATGACTAGTTGTTGATTGACAGATTAGATTTCCAGTGAGAACCTCTTTTGTCCGACTGAGCCTACCTGTCCTTTGCATTCCCCTCAGTGGGACTAAGATGGGAAACAGAATGCAAGCCACTTGTTCTAAATTTCTGGCATCCTCTTTATTAAAGAAAGAAAGAAAAAATCATTTTAAACATACACTTAACCTAATATTTTAGCATAGAATCAATTTTAAGTTAGTATTTTCATTTCTTGAAATCTGGTATTTGTACTTCCAGCACATTATAATTTATTACGTTTCGAGTGCTTGCTAGCTACATGTAGTTAATGGCTATTGGACCTGTACAGATTTTTAAAATTTGATGGGATGGGCTATTTCTTCTTCCTTGTCGGAATTTTTTTTTCTTAATTGCTATTCAAGAGGTAGAATTTGGAACTTAGTCTAATAGTCTTTGATTCAATACATTTGTCTTCTAAATAAAGTACTGGTTTCGTGCTTTAGGAGCTCTGGTGGTGTATTAGTTGTGCACTGGACTACCAACAGTTCAAAATCATCAGCAGCTATGTGGGAGAAAGATGAGGTTTTCTACTCCTATAAAGATTTGCAGTCTCAGAAACCCACAGAGGCAGTTCGATGGGGTTGCTATGAGTCAGAATTGACTCACTGGTGGTAAGTTTGTTTGTTTTTAATTAAGTAACAAAATCATTCAAGAAAGGACACCAAGTACATATTTTTCTCAGCTTTAGTGCTTGTTACATTATTTTGAGATCGAAACACATACTCCTTCATGTCTCACGTTGCTTCCTTAGTTAAGCTATTTAGTCTTCAGTGGTGATGCTGTGCTCTGGGTTATGAATCGTCCTGAGGAATAGGATGGATCGATGAGTCCTCTGCAGAGTGGTAAGGAATTTAGACTAGTACCGTCCACTAAACGTTTATCCCAGTGGTTGTCAAACCATAGACTACCTGAGAATCACCTGTGAGGGTTTCTTAAAACAGAAATGGCTGCCCTCCACCCCTAGAAGTCTGATTCAGGAGGCCTTGATCCAGTCTGAAAATTTGCATTGTATGTCTCCAGGCCTCTAAGCTGCTGATCTGTGAACCACACTCAGATAATTTTTCAGAAAAATCTTAGTAGATGATAATGCAACAAAATAAAATGAACAAAGACATTTTAAGAATAAAAGCAACAGTATAAGTAGCTCAGAATTGAGATACAATCCTATTCTCATAATGATGCAAAAACGACCCTAGAAAGCAAACTACCCAAATGAAAGAGGGTATCCCAATGCTTCATGGAGACCTGAGCGCCACATGGAGCCCCGGGTGTTGCCAAAGCTTAGCATCCATGGCTGCTAACTGAAGGTTACATACAGGTTCAAGTCCACCACGAGGAGCCTTGGAAAAAAGATTATTGGTCTACTTCTGAAAATCCCGTGGGGTTTCACTCGTGAAATTCCTGTAAGTCAGAATGGACCTGTTGACAGCTAGTCCTGGTACATATTGTAGAAATAAGGACCAGGAAGTACTCAATAATACATGTTACAGTGGGGCTGTAACTTGAATGCATGTTGAACAAAATAAGCCAATCAAAAAGGGACAGATATTATGTGGAAAGACGAGAAGGCAAATTGATAGAGACCAGAGTTTATTAGTGTTTACCAGGGCACGAGGTAAAATGGGATTAATGGAAATGGAAAAATTACATTGATTACCGGTTATGGTAACTGTTGTCAGTTAGTTACATACCTATAAAAAGTTGAATTGGCAAAAGTGTGATGGATTTATTTACAGTAACAAAAGGCTGCTCTTGCTGATTATGTGCAGTAAAACATCCCACGGAATGTAATTCTTTGGTTTGAAGATTCGGAGGCATTTTTTCTTTCTCGGTCAGGATCATGTCAGTGTGGCAGGGGGAGCTCTCAGGGATGGGTTGATCCGACCATGAGCTCCGTGAGTCCGGAGGCGCATCTTGGGGGCTTTGTTCACCTGGATGTGCTCAGTGACCAGAGAATCCACATCTAAACCCTTCAGTGCAGCATGACTTTCTGCATTTGTAAGCACGTGAAGCAAACCGACACGGGTCCAACCCCACTGTTTGGCCTGGGCACACCCACCAGCACCACCATTGTAGCGTCGGAAGGCACACACTGCTTCTGCAGAGTGACGTCTTTCAAGTATTTGGTGGCTTTCCGGATATGCATGCCTTTGATGGCTTGGGCAGTTTCACAGGTGTTCTTGAAGTGGACCCGGAGGTACGACCCTCTTGATTTGCAGGATTTTGTAGGGTTTTCTGGGTCAAGTGAGTAGCGAACCATTTTGGCAGGTCACCTCAGGCTGCTACAGTTACAGGAATAGTGGTGGGTTCTGGGAGAATTCATGGTGACTCAACTTCTCTACTTTTTTTTTTTTAAATCATTTTATTGGCAGCTCATACAACTCTTATAACAATCCATACATACATCCATTGTGTCAATCACATTTGTATATTTGTTGCCATCATCATTCTCAAAACATTTGCTTTCTATGTGAGCCCTTGGTATCAGCTTCTCATCCCCCCCCCCCCCCTTTCTGAACGCCACTGGAGTGTGGGGCTTACTCTGGGGTGGCTGTATGTCACACTGAGTGCAGTGTGATGCCAGAGCTTTCCGCCAATGAAAGCCTGGGATCTGGCAGTCGCTCCTCACGTACAGGTGGATAGCCTTGGAAACAGACCACAGAGACAGTTCTGTGAGCCCTAATGGCCTCAGGGCAGTGAGGTGATCAAGGGTGCCACGTGCCATCATCCTCACATTGCCCAAAGCCCTGCCACACTTGTCTTCTTAGCTTGTGTTTACAGTGCTGCCTGACTCACTGACAAATCTTGTTCCTGCAGGTACAGGTGCAGGTACAGCAGTCTCCGCAGCAGGTCTCGGCTCAGCAGCTCTCGCCACAGCTCTCCGTTCACCAGCCTGCTGAACAGCCCATCCAGGTCCAGGTGCAGATCCAGGGCCAGGCACCGCAGCCAGCAGCTCCCTCCATCCAGACCCCGTCTCTGCAGAGCCCCAGCCCCTCACAACTGCAGGCTGCCCAGTTCCAGGTGCAGCACGTCCAGGCAGCCCAGCAGATCCAGGCTGCAGAGATCCCGGAAGAGCACATCCCACATCAACAAATTCAAGCTCAGCTGGTAGCTGGACAGTCTCTTGCTGGGGGCCAGCAGATCCAAATTCAGACCGTGGGTGCCCTTTCCCCACCACCATCTCAGCAAGGCTCACCTCGGGAAGGGGAGCGGCGGGTAGGCACAGCCAGTGTTCTGCAGCCAGTGAAGAAACGCAAAGTGGATATGCCCATCACTGTGTCCTATGCCATCTCAGGGCAGCCGGTGGCCACTGTGCTGGCCATTCCACAAGGCCAGCAGCAGAGTTATGTGTCTTTGAGGCCAGACTTGCTGACAGTAGACAGTGCCCATCTGTACAGTGCCACTGGGACCATTACTAGCCCCACAGGAGAAACCTGGACCATCCCTGTTTACTCTGCCCAGCCCCGGGGGGACCCTCAGCAGCAGAGTATTACTCACATTGCCATTCCCCAGGAAGCCTACAACGCAGTGCATGTCAGTGGCTCGCCCACGGCCCTGGCAGCTGTCAAGCTGGAGGATGACAAGGAGAAGATGGTGGGCACCACATCTGTAGTGAAAAACTCTCATGAGGAGGTAGTGCAGACCCTCGCAAACTCTCTTTTTCCAGCACAGTTTATGAATGGCAACATCCACATTCCAGTGGCTGTGCAGGCCGTGGCAGGCACGTACCAGAATACAGCCCAGACGGTGCACATATGGGACCCCCAGCAGCAGCCGCCGCAGCAAGCTCCCCAGGAACAGACACCACCTCCACAGCAGCAGCAGCTACAGGTTACTTGTTCAGTAAGTGAGACTGGTCTGCCGGCAGCCTGCTCCCCGGTACCTGGCAGCCTCTGGTGCCGCTTGGTTGGTTTAGGCTGTGCTGTGGCCTTGTGGTGCTGTAGTATTGAATAGTTTACAGAGTTGGGCAAGGAGGGAAAGCTGTGCAACAGCCGGGAGCTCTGGCCTCCTACCTAGAGATCAGTGACCAGTGAAGTGCTTTGGGACCAGAGTTTTGAGGGTAGGTACCTGGGTGCTTCTCGGTGTCTTTTAGGAACAGTAGCATTCCAGGTAAGAGGTGAATGGGACATCCCAGGTATTGTCTATGCCTCAAGAGCTATTTCTGTACAGTCGTGCAGACTAAACTCTTCACAGTGGAGAGGTGAGTTTATTCCTTGTCTAGTTATTGTTTGTGGAGATCTCACTCGCTGTTATCAAGTCAATTTTGAATCATACCGACTACATAGAGCAAGCTAGAACTACTTTTGGGTTTCTGAGACTGTTTTTATAGACGTAGACAGCCTCATCTTCTGCCACTGGTTTCGAACTGCTGACCTTGTGGTTAGCAGTTCAGTATATAGCGCACTACATCAGCAGAACTCCTTATGTCTCGAGGTAATGCAGGTAAATAGGAGAGCTCCTGATGGCCCTCTTAAAAGTGATTACTTAAAAGTAGGAGCCTTGGGAAAGCCATGTATGCAGCCAGATCTCTCAGAAATTTGAAGGGGATAGGAGTGAGGAAGTAAATAAAAGCAAAAGCCTTTGCCATGTGTTAGAGCAGCACTGCTCTAGAGGGGCTTGTTGGCTATGACCCTAACCAAAGGAGGTTCTCAAAAGTTTTGCTGGGCACCAAAATGAGGCAGCCAGCCTGAGGTTAGCAGCTTAGTACCTTGTTGTCAACAGAAGCCTCGGTTAATTGAGTCTTCTGTTAGGGCTGTTGAAATTCCCCACCCCCACCCCCCAAATTTTAATTTTGAAATAATTTGAGGCTTATATAAAAACTACAAAGATAACTGGCTAAAAAGTTTGGCATTTGAGATAACTTTGTAGTCAAGTAAAACTTAAGTGCTTTGTGCTTCTCCACATGTGGTTATTCTAATAAATGGAGAAATGAGTCAAAAACAAACAAACTACAAAGATAGAATTGGGTTTAAATTTTAAAATTGCTTGGCTCTTTTGTCTTTTCTAATTGTGAATCTTACCTATCAAGAGCCCTCGCCCAACAAACTTTTACAATGGAGTGTAGGGCCTCTGATCTGACCTGTGGTGGAAAATCTTTCTAGAAGTCTGTGGTAGGGTGGGTTGATTGGCAGAGGGAACAACAGGAGAATGGTAATGTTGCTCTGTGCTCAGGTTTTGTCCATTGGGTTGGAGCTTACCTGTTCTTCCCTGGGCCTGAAGGGTTCATCCCAGGTCAGGACTCTTGGTGTTCATGTTTCTGTGCATAATTTGCATGTCTGGACCCTCCATTGGGAGGCAGTGAGTGTTTCCTTTGAGAATGTCTTTTAGGGACTTCTGTCCAATATTATGTTAGCAAAAGAAATAGATAATACTCATCAGGTGGGCAAGATGAGTTACGCCCCTGCCTGCCTATTAGGCGCTGTGGGAGGTGGGAGGAGATCACAGCCCCTTCTCACAATCCCTGCGTCCCCTGACAGACCGGCTTTGTCTGTTGGTTGAGGGAGGCATAGGGAAAGCTGGTAACCATGTATTTTGCTCTTTCACTTGGTATGGGGGGGAGGGTCATTTCTTTCTCTTTTTTTTTCCAAGATCATTTTATGAGGGGGTTCTTACAGCTCTTATAACAATCCATACATCAATTTATCAAGCATATTTGTATATACGTTGCCAGCATTATATTCTAAACATTTACTTTCTATTTGAACTCTTAGTATCATCTCCTCTTTATCCTCCCTCCCACCCTCATGATCCCTTGATAAATTATAAATTATTATTTTCATATCTTAGACCGACCAATGTCTCCCTTATGTTATGTGTTATGTGTTGATCATTGCGGTTGGTTCCCCCTTCCTCCCCTTCTATTCTCACCTTCTCCCTACCCTCCTGGTATCGCTACTGCCATTTCTGTACCTGGGGGGTTTATCTGACTTGTGTCGTGAGCTCTAATCTGTTCCTGTATACATGATCCCTGCCTAGCCCAAAGTGAAAGGCAGGATTGGGGTCATAATATAGGAGGGTCATATTTATGAAAGCTTTAGTATCTCTTGTTCTTAAAAGCCAAATAATAGAGAAAAAATTGTTTGTTTGTTTGTTTGTTTTTGAGATGAGTATCCTCTCCTCTACCTCCAGCTATTGCCCCACTTCTCTGCTCTTTATTCCCAGAGCTCTCATAAGGATTATCTGCATAGCTCCGCTTGCTGTTCGAGAGTTCTTGGGTGCTATTTTGTCCACTGGCCCTGAATTTGGCTGCCTTTGGGGGCCTGTAATAAGTGAGAGGAATGTGGTGATTAGGAGACAATAGAACTCTGGAAAGTGAGGCCTTTCATTTTGTGATTTCTAGAAGGCCAGTAAAATTGAGAAAACCTGTTCCCAAAGGTTTTTTAAGTCATTTTTATCATCACTGTCAATTGAATCTGCTCTTTGCCACAGACGATGGCTTTCGTGTCTTTGTATATTCCTGTACACAGTAAGAACCTTGACACACATGATGGAATGATTAAGAAAAACCAAAGCTTTTGTATGATTTGAATTGATTTCTTGTTGTTTCTCAGCACTCTTGAAGTCTGAGCAACTCAGTTCTCCCCTGTGAACAGCTCCAATCAAGGGAATGGAAATTCTAACCTTGGGGTTTAATACTTGAAGATCTTTATTTATACTCTTTAAAAGATTAAGTTACCTACCTATACTTTCTGTGTCTTTCTGTGTCTTGTTCCTCAGGGTGTATACTGAGTAGAGATTGCAGGGCCATGTGGGTATTTCTGTTTGCATTTGTTTAAGGAAGCGCCACACTAGTTTCCACGGTGACTGTGCAGCTCTGCAGTCCACCAGCGTGTACAGAGCATTGCAGTCTCCACTTGCTTATAGCTAACGATCACTCGCATCTCTTCGCATGACTGTTGGCCACCTGGATGTCATCTTTAGTAAATGGTCTGTTCATGTTTTGTGCCATTTTTTAATCTGGCTGTTCATGTTTTTCCTTATTAAGATACTGTCATTTTCTCTAGATTTTTAAAATTAGCCCTTTATCTGCTATATCATTGCCAAATACCTTTTCCAAACCTGTGGGTTCTTCTTTCACTGTTGGAGAGGTCGGAGTGTTCGAAAGCCCCAATCTTCCGTGGTGTTTCTGCAGTGTGGGTCTTGTTTAGTCAGGAGTGGGGGATTTATGCTTTGTGGTAGGGCCCTAAAGTTGGTCCCTAGCTTTGTGGTTCTAGGGCTGATGTTTAGGTCTTAATCCGTCTTGAGTTCATTTTTTGTACATGATGTTAGGTAGGGGTTCTGTTTCATTCTTTTGCAGGTAGAGATTCAGTTTTTCCAGCACCATTTATTGAAAAGGCGATCTCCCTCCCCATGTCATGCTTTAGTTCTTTATCGAAGATCCAGTGTCTAGAGGGGCTTTCCTGTCTAAAGTGACAGATTTTCAGAAGTCAGTCAGCAGGTCTTTCTTTCGAGGCACCTTTAAGTGGACGTGTGAGACATCAGCCTGCTGTTAGAAGCAAGCAGACTAGCCATTCGCACCACCTAGGCACACAGCACAGCATGTTGCAGTGCTTTTATTTAAATAAAACAGCTTGTTTAATACATATTGCTGATTTGTTAATACTGAACTCACAGCATTTTGTCCATAAGACAAGCCAGTCATTTTGCACTGAGCAACACGAAACTGTTCTTTAGCACTGCACTTGGGCCATTTTAAACAGCAAAATCACCAGCAAAAAGCACAAAAATGCAGCCTAAATACACCTCCAAAAGGATATTTATTTGCAATATGAAAACTAAAACAAGCAGGGGTACTGCCTTGTTCCACTTCAGTTGGGATCATGCATGTCATGCAACTGAAATGTTTTGCATGTCCTCGAATAGCCATGAAAGTGCTGCAAGTATTGACTTAGAGATTTTTTAAAGTGATAATGGATAGATGAATTTGCAAACACAGGATTCGTGAAGATAGACTTGTTTTTCTACCTGTTTTCTGCCTACTCGGGTCTTTATCACACTTTCTTGTTTGTTTACTTAAAGACTGGAGTTTTCATTGGAAGGAGGGAAGCATTGGTGAATTATCCTTCCATCGTGGAAATGATAGAAAACAGCGAAGTGGGAAGAATTGGGAAATTATTCATATGGTCACCTCTCTTGCCTTTATTAGAGTTTGGTAGATGAGAAATCAAGTTAATTTGTATAATTGTTTATACTTTTGCGACATCGTGTGTGTGAGAGTTATTTATTAGTTATGGTTAACATGTTGTTTAATTTCTACTTTGTAGTCTGTTTGGAAAAACCGAACCCATTAACACTGAGTTTAATTCTGATTCATAGACCATATTGACAGTAGAGTCCTCTTGGGAGCTTTAAAGAATACTGATGCCAGGGCCCCCTGCATTAGACCAATGAAATCAGAATCTCCAAGGACAGGGCCCAGCCATGGGTGCTTTCCAAAGTGGCCCAGATAAATTTTAGGTGCAGTCAACATAAGAACTCCTACTTTGGACACACGCTTCTCAGAATGAGGTTTCAGCCCTACCTGGGAACTGGTTCGAAATGCAGCATCTTAGTTCTACCTTAAACCTTTTGAAACAGAATTTGGATTTTAATAAAATTCACAAGTGGTTTGTATATTCAAGTTTTGATAGTGATTTCAGCCAGTAATTCTCCAAAACAACTAAACATTAAATTCCCTTTTTACTTGGAAGATTTTATTATGACTTCGTTGTGAATCAGGTGATCATCTTTTTTTCATTCAACAACTTGCCAAGCCTCCCAGTGGCTTGCCCTGCCCTTTCCCTCAGTTCCCTCTTGCAGGATATTATCGTCTCCTTCATCCCAGATTACACTCATTTACCCTCTAGCTCAGCGGTCCTCAACCTTCCTAATGCTGAGACCCTTTCATATAGTTCCTCATGTTGTGGTGATGTGGTGACCCCCCAACCACAAAATTATTGCTGTTGCTACTTCATAACTGTCATTTTGCTACTGTTATGAATTGGGCGACCCCAGTGAAAGGGTCGTTCAACCCCCAAAGGGGTCTCAACCCACAGGTTGAGAACCGCTGCGCTAGCCTATGACTTCCACTCCAACAGTCTGTTTCTTTGGTATGAAAACCTTTTCTTGGTGTTTTTTTCTCAACAGTGGCTTCATATATTTGTCCTTTTTGATTGACTAACATCACATAATACCCTCCAGATTCATCCATGTCGTGGGTGTTTAACAGTTGCATCGTTATTCTTCAGTGTTGTGTAGTATCCCATTGTGTGTATAGGAAAAACATTTGTCGGTAGAAAGATGGGGCTTTATACCCCTGTAGAGATTTGCAGTCGTGGAATGCCACTGGAGCAGTTCTGCTCTGTCCTGTTGGCTTGCTGTGAATGCCAGTCGACTTGATGGCTGGGAGTTTACCAAGGTTTTTATCTGTTCTCCCATGGATGGGAAGTCAGGTGGTTTCCATCTTCGTGCTGCTGTGAATAATGCTGTGGTGTGCGTGCGCGCGTGTGTGTGTGTGTGTGTGTGTGTGTGTGTGTGTGTATTTGTTGGCGCTGTGTTCCTTATTTCCTAGGGTAAATACCAAGTAGCGCTATTGCTGGGTCATATGGAATTTCTATTCCCATTGCTGTCCGCAGTGTTGTACTGTTTCCCAGCAGGGATTGTTTTCTGCTTTTTTGAACTTTGCTATCAGTCTTGCAGTGAGATGGTATCTCATTTTGATTTGCATCTCTAGGGTGTCTAGTGATGGATGATTATTTATTCATGTTTGTTGTCTTTGGTGAACTGTCTGTTCATGTCCACTGTCTACTTTGTCATTGGATTACTTATCTGTTTCTTCATGACGCATTGGAATTTTCAGTAGATTTTAGGCATTCTCCCCTTGTCTAATGTGTTATTGCCAAATCTTTTTTTGCTTAGTCTATGGCTTTTCTTCTTACCCTTTTGGTGAAAGCTTTTAAAGCATATTAAGTGTTTTTATTTTTAAGAGGCCCAAGTCACCTCATTTTCTGGTGTGTGTGTGTGTGTGTGTGTGTTCAATTGAGTGTGATAGTGTGTTTGTGTCATTTATTAGGGCCCTTAAGTTTGTCTCTATTTTTTATGGATTTTTGCAATGCTCGGGTTTACGTTAGGTTTCTAATCCATCTTGAATTTGTTGTTGTATACAAAGTGAGGCTTGGTTCTGTTTTATTACGTGGGGAATTTGTAAGAAGACTTATTAGCACCTTCGGTTGACCCCAGAAACTCTGAGGTGGTCCTTGGAATTGCTACTTGTGAACTGGAGATTCTGAAGTGCAGGCAGCTGCGCGCCACTGCTCTGCTCAACTGCAGCTCTGCTCTTGCTTCCATGGATTTAGGACTAGAATTCCAAAGTGTCTTGAACAGAAGGCTAACAGGGAAGGAGTTGTTTGTTTGTTTAACTGAATGAACTGTAACATTCCTGGTGGTTTTGCAGAAGAGCCTAATACAATTCACTGTCGACACATTGTGACGGTTTCTCTCTCATAGGCGCAAACTGTCCAGGTTGCTGAAGTTGAACCACAGTCACAGCCACAGCCTTCCCCAGAGCTTCTGCTTCCCAATTCTCTGAAGCCAGAAGAAGGGCTTGAAGTATGGAAAAACTGGGCCCAAACCAAGAACGCTGAGCTAGAGAAGGATGCTCAGAACAGACTGGCACCCATTGGGAGTGAGTATTTGGGAGGGAGGAGGGGGTGGGACCGTCTGAAATGCAATGGCACTGAATTCACAGGAGGACTGAATGGCAGGACAGTGGCATCCCCTAGCTCGGGGATCTGTTAGCGTAGCCTGGAGTCAAAGCGAAAACAGTAGGCTAACCGGACCCTGTGCCGGATGAGCAGGATTTATGGAGTTCCTGGAGTCAGCCTAGCAGACTTGGCAGGCAGCACTGTTTCTGGGAGGAGGTGGGAACACCGGGGGCACCCACGCCCTTTTTCCTTGGTGTCAGGCTCATACACTTGCGTGCTTTTGGGGACGTGTAAGGTGGGAGCAGGGGTTAGGACATTTGGGATTACTGTCCATTTGGATCACAGATGTAAGTGACCATTTCTGTCCTAGCACTCCCAACAAAGCGGCGGCCTTTAAAGCACATTGTTTGTATTTTAAAGTTAGCACTGGCCCTGTTCATCTTTGGGGCTTGTGTTGCAGGGCGCCAACTGCTGCGATTCCAGGAAGATCTCATCTCCTCTGCTGTGGCTGAGTTGAATTATGGGCTCTGTTTAATGACACGAGAAGCTCGAAATGGAGAAGGTGAACCCTATGACCCAGATGTGCTTTACTACATTTTCCTGTGTATTCAAAAGGTAAAAAATGGCCCTCTACAGGGAGGTGTTAGAACTGTGCTCCCACTGGGTGTTGACTAAGTTATTAAAATGACAGCCAAGTGATTCTACTAGGTCAATCTCAGCTACATTGATGAGTTTTCACGTTCACATATTCTAAATTACAGGAGATCTGCATCTTTACTTTCGAGAAAAATAAAGCGTCACCTAAAATGTAACCAGCTAGAGAAACTTTTGTTAAATTACTTGTTCTGTTGCCTTAACACTCTTTTAATTCTTTCCCCTTCCTTTCTTTAAAAAATACAAAGCATTTATATAACACTCTTCTTTTGTTAAAGTAAAACAAAGTTTTCTTAAAAATAAATCATCCAACAAAAATCCGGTGCTGACATGAGTGAGAGGGCTTGGAAAAATTCTTGGAAAAATTAAATTGCAAGGTGATGAAGTATTTTCACGAACTTTCTGAAAACCCCTTGTAGACCTTTTCATTTTCTTTTTGGCTTTAACATAAAATAATTAATTGAAAGCATCTGCCTATCATTGTAAATGAGGGGGAGTGCAGAGTAGAGACCCACAGCCCATCCGTAGGCAACTGGACATCACCTTACAGAGTGGTCTCGGGGAGGAGATGACCCAATCAGGGTGCAGTATAGCAACGATGAAACATACAACTTTCCTCTAGTTCTTAAATGCTTCCTCCCCCTACTATCATGATCCCAATTCTTCCTTACAAATCTGGCTAGACGAGAGTATGTACACTGGTACAGATAGGAACTGGAAACAGGGAATCCAGGACAGATGATCCCTTCAGGACCATTGGTGAGAGTGAGGATATCGGGAAGGTGGGGTAGAAAGGGGAAACCAATTACAAAGATCTACATATAACCCCCTCCCTGGGGGATGGACAACAGAAAAGTGGGTGAAGGGAAATGTTGGACAGTGTATGATAGAAAAAATGATAATTATAAATTATCAAGGGTTCATGAGGGAAGGGGGAGCGGGGAGGGAGGGACAAAAATGAACTGATATCAAGGGCTCAGGTAGAAAGCAAATGTTTTGAGAATGATGACGGCAACGAATGTACAAATGTGCTTGACACAACTGGTGTATATATGGATTGTGATGAGTTGTATGAGCCCCAATAAAATTATTTTTTTTAAAAAGCATCTGCCTAGATACTACATAAATGTAGTAAGAATATTGGAAACCTAAGTTGAAGCAAATGGTCAGTAAAAAGAGAAACAGAAAGAAAAAGACAAAATGAATGTCAGAAGAGACTTGGAAACTTGCTTGTGAATGTCAAGTACCTAAAGCAAATGGAAGAAATGATGAGCTGAAAGAATGGCTCTCAGAAGACAGAAGTATTAGAATGAAATGTGCAGACGTGTGGTTAGAAGATCAAAAGGGAAGAATACTCAGCATTTCTCAAGCTGAAAGGACTGAAGAGCAAATTCTAAAATGGAAGGGTTGTAAAGGTAAACTATTGATGCTGCAAGAAATATCAAGCGGAGATGGAAGAACTATGCAGTGACGGTGCCAAAAACACTGGTTGGTGCTCAGCCGTTATGGAGCAGCACATAACTGAGAACCAGAGTATTGAAAGAAGAAATGCTGTGAAGGCGTTAATGAAAGACAAGGAAGCCTCCAGGAATTGACAGGAGACTAATTGAAATGTCTTTTGTTTTTTTTTCCAATGCTGGCATTGTTTATCTAAGCCAAGAAATCGAGAAGACATAACAAATAAAGAGTAGCATTGTAAAGAATGGAAATTCCAGAACACCATGTGCTCATACAGAACTTGTATATAGACCAAGAGGGAAGTCGTTGGAAAAACCAAGAAATACTGCATGGTTTAAGGTCTGGGAGGGTGTTTGTCAAGATTGTATCCTTTTACCGTGTTTATTCAATCTTTCTCCTAAGCAAATACTCAAAGAAGCTGGACATATAAAGGACGGCTACAGCACCAGGATTAAGGAAGATGCAGCAACAATCTGATATACGAATGATACAACCTTGCTTGCTGAGAGTTAAGGAGCACTTACTAATGAAGAGCAAAAACTACAGCTTTCGTTATGGATTTCAGCGAAACATAAGCCAGGCATTCTTACAACTGGACCAATAAGCAGTCTCTTGGTCCATGGTATAAGACTCACATTGTCAAAGATTTCGTTTTAAATAGACCCACAATCAACACCCAAGGAAGGCGAATCTGCTACAAAAGCCTTCTTTGACAAATAATAAAGATGTTACTTTGAGGACTAAGGTGTGATTGACAGGTGAAAACTTACACATGTAGAAGCTGGGCAGTGAAAAAGACAATAGAAAGTTTGATGCCTTTGCATTAGGGTGTTGGTGAAGAATATTGAGTATCCCAGGGATTTCTAGAAAAAACAAATCTGTCTTGGGAGAAGGACAGGCAGGGTAGCCCTGAAGAGCAAGGATGGGGAGATGCTGTCTTAGAATTTTGGACGTGTTACCACGAACCCCTGGAAAAGGACATCATATTTAGAGGTTCATTAAAAAGAGGAAGAACTTGAACAAGATGACTGACACCGTGGCTGGAACAATGGACTGAAACATTGCAACCATTAGGAAGGGGCTAGGACGGGGCAGGATCTCATTCTGTTGTACAGTGTTTCTGTGAGTCAGACTGATTCAGCAGCAGTGTCGACATTAAACATAACCTTTAGACTAGGAGCAGGTGTGGGTTTCTTAATGCTTGACAGCTCTTGAGAAACCCACAGGTAGTGTGGAAGAGCACTTGCTGATTGGGGCTCTCTCCCTGTTGCCTGACCTGAGAAAAATCTACCTCCCAGTTTGCACCTCCCTTTCTCTTCTTGGCCCAATAGCCTGCTCCGCATGTTTTTGGTACCACAGACATTATCCTGTGCTTGTTTAAAAAGCCATTACAGAACCTGCCTGCCTCTTTGTCCTAACCCTGGAACGAGTTGTGAGAGTCAGATCACGTGATCTGGTGTAATGTACGTGTCGTGCCATGCTGGACAGTTTGGTCTGACGTGTGTTTGTTGAGGGAGGGGTGGGTAGGGAGACGTCGTACTGGGGAGGAAGAAAATGCTTTATTGGTCCTGAAAGTCTTACCTGGGAAGCTGCCAACTTTTGTCACTTTTGTGGGTTTTCCCTTTAGTATCTTTTTGAAAATGGTCGAGTGGATGACATTTTCTCCGATCTGTACTATGTTCGGTTCACGGAGTGGCTGCATGAAGTTCTGAAGGATGTTCAGCCCCGGGTCACGCCACTTGGTAAGAGTCTTCCTTAAGGGTATTTGGGTTTCAGTGTCTTCCCTGGCAGGGTGTGTGAGTGTGCTGTGTGTAGATAGATCCTGGGCAGCAGCACCAGTCTGCTTGCCTGAGGAGGAGGGACAGTGCAGTAAGGACAAGACATCGAGGTGTGAGAATGCCTCCTTTTTCAGTTATTAGTGCAGTCCTTAGTCATTAAACTTAGGGTCCTGCAATAAGTACAAAGTGTGAACTTTATTTTGTGGGGTGCAAGATTTGGGTGTTTATTGCTAATGGTGTATCTCAGACACCAGTGCTGCTGTCTGTACTCACAGGCACTGTCCTGGGGAGCATGTGTTGGTGGAAAGAGCCTGGGTGTAGGTGTAGAACAATTTTGGTTTTAATTCTGGCTGTGCCATTTATTGCAATGTGTGCTCCTTAATCTTTTTTGAAAATAGGTTGGGGGGGGGCCGGGGTTGCTTAGGCAAATTTTTGTTCATTTTATTTGTTTATTTAGAGAATCTATGATAATGCCAAGTAATAGTATTCCAAGCTCAAATCCCAATAGGGGAACACAGTGTAAAAAGAATCATATTCATTTGTGATTGAGGGCTCTGAAGAATAAAGCCCAAGGGAGTGGAAAATGATAAGGTCACCAGGAGGGAGGACTGTGAGCAGCTGCCATTAGAACAGAAACCTGTGCGGGTGACTCACCATTCACAGGCTTTGAGACTTTTCAGGCCTCTTAATGGATATTCAGAGCCCACTCTCTAACCTTTTTATTATAGAAAAATCAACAGATAAATGAATCCCCTGTGTGTCTATCACCTTTGGCAAATCTTGTCTCATCTATATCACTACCTGCTTTCCCTCTTCCGTGAATTTGACGGAAACCCTGGTGCTTTATCCATAAATACATCAGTATGTATTGATAAGACCTAAATGCCAATGTGTTTAAGGTAAACACACAAGCTAGTTTCATATTGTCATCAAATATCTAGCCTTTGTTAGAAAATTTTTTGTTGTTGTTAGATAGAATATTTTAAGTGTATTTCTCAGATGTTACAATTAGTAACATTAGCTGAATTAGTATAAATAGGGCTCACACATTGAAATTAATGAGTATGTCTTTCAATACTTAGTCTTAAGTTTTGCCTGTGTTCTCTCTTTTGTGCAATTTACTCAAGGAAGAAACTAGATTTAAATGTTGGACAGCTGTTGTTGTAGGTGGCATCTGCCTGTGGTATATTTAAACATGTCCTGTTATACAGGTAATGGGGAACTGTGCATAAAGTATGCATCTACTTAGGATTGTTGTTTTGTTGGGTGTGTCATAAGAGGGTTGTTTTTCTTCCCCTGGATGCCCTTTACCCTTTAATTTATTTGAGTAGAAAATGATGGTATCCTAGTGCTGCTTCCTTTACTGGCTGGACTACAAAAAGAAATCGACCCCCATCTACTCGTGGGCTTTCCCTGCTCACAGATTCTGTAGGAGGCCAGGATAAGGCCTTGTTTTCTTTTCCTTGTTTACTAGTTTCCACTGTAGTGAGTTGAGTCACTCACCATCTCCAGTGATGATCAATTAGGCTTTTTAAGGATCTTTGTGAACTTATATCTTTGAACATTGTCTATGTGTTTCAACCCATTGCAGATGTACTTTATATGCAAATTGTGCCATCTTTGTCTGCTTAGAGCCTCAGTGTTAGTCCCTGGGTCCTTTTCACACATGGGTAGTAGTCTTTAGTAAGTTCCTTTACTTCTGATTTGACTGCATCCTCCTGCCCCAGATGTGGAGTCAACCAGTCCTCTATGGAGCCTAGTTCCCTTAAGTAGGAAATAGTATTTGAGTACCACAGTCTAGGTGCTACGGACCTTCGTTGCTTCTGGGATTGACCTTAGTTTCTGGATCTTACATTGGGCATAACTAGAAGAACAAGTTAAAGAAAATTTTTTATCATTTTTATCTTTACCATTGAAATCCAGAACTAGAAGCCTTTTTTAATTCATTTTATTTGGGGCTCATACATTTCTTATCACAATCCATACATACATCCATTGTGTCAAGCACATTTGTACATTGTTGCCATCATCATTCTCAAAACATTTGCTTTCTACTTGAGCCCTTAATAACAGCTCATTTTACCCTCTCCCTCCCTGCTCCCCCCTCCGTAATGAACCTTTGATAATTTCTAAGTTATTATTATTTTGTCATATCTTACCCTATCTGGCGTCTCTCTTCACCCACTTTTCTGTTGTCTGTCCCCCAGGGAGGAGGTTATATGTAGACCCTTGTCATCGGTTCCCTAGAAGCCTTTTCTATAACATCTCTGTCCATGTCTTCTTTCTCCCACACCAGGAGTCCTGCCTCTCAGTCATTTAGAATTCACACGGACATCGTGTTGTTAGAGAGTGACACCAGGGAGTTAGGGAACTGACACAAGAACAGAGAAGGAGGATGTATTGGGCAACATAATCCTTTTCTGCTTCCTGGAAGTGGCGTGGCACGTTGCACTCCCTGTCCAGAGAACCCTGAAGGCCCCCAGAGGAGATGCTTGACTGTTGCTACAGCCATTGTCATAATCTTGTACAAATAGTTGCCCACTGACAAGGAGCACAAGAAGAAGGCTTGGTTGTTAACCCAGGGGTCATCTGTCGGCTGCCCAGAGTTGATGGCCGCTCGTTGGTCTCTACTCCTTGGTATCACTTATGATGTAGAGTTTTACAATAAAACCAGCCCCAAGGACGAACTTTTCATGGTCTGGAATGTCAGCCTCCTCTTTATCCAGAGAAGGAATGAGAATGGACTGAGTTCTGGCTACGCTAGACATGGAAACAGGTGTACATGATGGAAATGGGAAAGTTCTGCACCCGCTGGCCAGAGAGGTGTGCTGATATGCAAAGCTTAGTTGTCACTTTCGGGAGTTTCACTTTGGCCGAGGGCCAGCCTTTTGCACCTTATTAACCTTACAGTACAGGAAGAATTTCACATCATGTGAAAGCAGTCCTGTGTGGCAGTGTCTCCCCAAACACAACTGCATTGCCATCAACTGGGAACGTGTTAATTCTTGGATTCCACTTCATGAACTCAGGTTGCGTTTGTGAACAAGCTTTCTAAATCATTCTGCCACATCTCAGAAGACCTGCTTTGGTGGACTTATTCTCCTGTGTCATCATCGTTCTTGTAGCCTGGCCCTGGGAGGGACTCTTGCAATCCTCTTGTTGTAGCAGGCCTCTCTTCCTCCTAGGCTATGTCCTGCCCAGCCATGTGACTGAGGAGATGCTATGGGAGTGCAAACAGCTGGGGGCTCACTCCCCCTCCACCCTGTTGACCACCCTCATGTTCTTTAACACCAAGTAAGTGTTCTGGAGGCTCCCCGTTTACCCACTGCTTGGGTCTGCCCAGTGAAGAGGGTGGGAGCTATCCAGGAGGACTTCTAAATCCCCCTGACAAATATTTGAGAGACTGTGGGCTGCTGACAGCCTCCAACCCTACTTGCCTGCATCTCACGTGACCACTGAGGCACATAGCTCTGCCAGACCCCGCCCATCAGCCCTGATGTGGCTCTTTCACTGATCAGTGTGTTTGGGGGTGGGCCTGCCCAGGTGCTGAAAATGTGGGCTGAGGCTTTTCTGAAGCTTTGAAGGGTTAGAGGGTAAGTCATGGTCTCTTCCCGGCACCCCTCCCTCTGCCTTGCTTTCACTTGTGGTCCAGGTACTTCCTGTTGAAGACAGTGGACCAGCACATGAAGCTGGCCTTCTCCAAGGTCTTGCGACAGACAAAGAAGAACCCCTCAAATCCCAAGGATAAAAGCACGAGTATCCGGTACCTGAAAGCGCTTGGGATACATCAGACCGGTCAGAAAGGTAGGACAGGGGCCCAGAATGGCAGAGTGATGATACCTGTTTTGCTGGGTGGGCCTGGTAATCATTGTGAAGGTGGGCACTTCCCAGGTGGAAATGCTCTACTTTTTTCTGAGCCAAGTACTTGACTTTTCTCCTTGAAACCTTTTATTTCCCCCCCCCCATAATTCACTACCCGTGCCTCACCTTTTCACATTCAACATTTCCTGGGTGAGGTGGCTGGGGCCCTCGGGTTCCTGAACTTGGCCTGAGCTAAGACAGACTGATGGGTGTGTTTTATAGTTACAGATGACATGTATGCAGAACAGACGGAAAATCCAGAGAATCCACTGAGGTGTCCCATCAAGCTCTACGATTTCTACCTCTTCAAATGGTGAGGAGATGTAGTATTAAATTAAA